TCAACAGGAATGTTGGATGATGCCGATTTATGAAGCACTTTGGTGCTGGGAAGTGGAAACTAGCAAAAGGCAACCTAGTGGACCCGGAGGTTGTAATACCTTAAATTTAATTTCAAATAAATAGCAATTTCGCAAATTCGAATAATAAGTTCTCATAAATATTTTGAAATCAATGAAGGGTTACAAATTCATATCAAACAACTGCCACAGGGCTAATTCAAATACAACAAATTTCAAGCAAATTATTCTAAGCCCTATAGCAGTTCATCCGTTCCTTCACTATGTTGTGTGCTGATCGTCTTGATTACCTAAAAAATGAATGTAAGGATGAGTACTCTACACTACCAAAACACAAGCAAATATAGAGTCTCACCTTCAAATCATTTTAATTACACTTTAAACAGATATATGAAAATACGCCCTCAGGCAGCATTCCAGCACAGTTCATTACAATTAAACCTCAGTGCACTCATGGCACTAACAACAGTTCATAATCATAATTTACAGCATAGTATACCAGCGCTTATACGCCCCATTTACAGCATTTCATATCGGCGATTATTCGCCCCATTCACACTATTATGCCCACGGGCGATTAGTCGCCCCATTCGCAGTGTTGTGCCCACTGGCGATTAATCGCCCCATTCACATCATTTCACAATATATGGCTCTAGGCCCACATTTGTTTATATCACACAGCACGAATCTACATTCACTAACATTACATGGCACATAGCCCACCATTCTCTATAACACGCGGCACGTAGCCCATATCCATTCATATTACACGGCCCTTAGGCCCACATATTCATAACATCGCATTTTATACGTACATACTCAGCACGGAGGCCCATATCCATCCTCAACATTTGGCATAATAGCCCTTATTCTATTTCACACAATATCTAGCATATAATGCACATGTCACGGCACACGGCCTTCATTCCATCCACAATACACGGCACATAGCCTACGTTTACTCACGACATCATTTATTCACCAATTATTGTTATTCCATCATACACAATCACCCCCACGGGGCCTAGCTATTCCAACGTTCATCAATTTCATTACACACATATTATTCCTAACTTCTATCTTAGCCACATTGCACAACTCAGCAAAATACACAGAATCACAATATATTGAGATAGGGTAGAGTCCCCCCTTACCTTGGATTGAAAACCCATGCTTAATGTCGACCACGGGAGTATTTCCCACACAGATCTCGGCCTAAACACACGGGTTAATTCCATGAGAACCTTAGAAATCATCCAAAATCAGAGAAAGGGAAGGAAAACTGAAACCCTAACCATTAAAACTCACCTCCAAGCGTTCCCACACAAATCTGAGCTTCAATCTCGCTTTCGAACGGCTTTGGAGGCAATTAATCGGTGAGAAAGGGGTTTGTGGTCGAGAGAATCGAAGGGATTTGGGAGATATCTGAGAAATAAACTTCAAATCCCTAAACCTCTTTTTAAAACCCCTCAGATCACGACACTTTCGCTACAACGACAACTTCTCGCTGCAGCGACGCCCTCTATTGTCACAACGAAAATCTCAGACAAAACTGCATTCTGATTTCTGTAGAATATCGCTACAGCGAGGCCCTCTCGCTACAGTGAGTCTGCATCCAGAAATGTAGTCCCTTCTATCGCTCTCTCGCTGCAGTGAGACATCTATCGCTACAGCGAGAAGGCGACAGTTTCACCCTTCTTGCCCCTGTGACCTCTCACTCTAGCGAGAATCCTCTAGCTGCAGTGAGGACACTCTGCACTTAGGCACTTGGCAAATTCTCAGCCTAGCCACACATCCACACATCCACATACATACATATATATATATATATATATATATATATATATATATATATATATATCCCTAGGCTTACGCATACAATTATCCTTTATTACGCATTTCAATGCAATTTCCTCATTTTCATTTCCCCATTACGCACTTAAGTGCAATTCTAATATCCATCTACACTTTACATACATACGAATATCGATAATCAATGTTATCAAAACTCGGGGTGTTACAGAGGTTCAAACCAAGGATCCTTGTATATCATGCAAGGACAAATTTGTTCTAGAGAAGCAAATGTTGCAACAAACTCCAAGGATCTTTGGCATAGACGGTTGAGCCACATGAGTAATAAAACACTCCAAATGCTCGCCAAAGAACACTTGACAAGCATAAAAGGTCAGATTTTAGAATCTTGTACTAATTGTATTGCTGGTAAACAATGTAGAGTTAGTTTTCAGAGACTAGATGAATCCTTAAGGAAGCTAGAGCCATTAGAACTTGTGCATTCAGATGTCTATGCACCATCTGAAAGATCCCTTGAAGGAGCATATTACTTTGTCACTGATAAACTCTTTGGTAAGTGCACCAAAACGTTGAAGTAACAAAATATATTATCGTTCATAGAGATTAATGCTAAGTACCAACCCACAAGAATAGCACTAGTTGAGTCACGAAAAATAGTGTATGAAACAAAACAAAATTTACTTAAGTGAAGAATTGTAAAAACAAAATTAAAAGTGCTAGGATTAATATTTATAAATGAACAGAAACTACGAGATTAAAAGTGGAGTAATAATTAAAATAATTACAGAATATAAAAGTCTAAATTACTAAAGATGGTTCTAAACACAATTAAAAACAGGTTGAGTTCAGAATCCTTATCCCTTTCCCTTTGCATACAAATATATGTATAACTCAAAATACAACTTCATCTAATGGTCATATTTTCTAAAGTACCTAACCCTAATTTCTTGGTAATTGGTTCTAAAATAAAATTAGTGTCCTAATTCCTTAGCTACAACTAAGAACATTCAGCATTAAGATTAAACCCATTGATCACATCATCATAAATTTCTATCCTAGACAATTCATTCATAAAAAGCAAATTAATCTCTTTACAAGAAAGTTCACTACTTTTCAGCAATAAACTTCTTTTCATCAATCCCATTCACGTAGAACAGAAAAGCATTAAGTTCAGAATTAAGATGTTAGATTAAAGTTTGTATCTTGAGCTATATCCTGTGTTAGTTCATTGCAAAGGGTAAAGGTATAAGTTAATCCTCAATGAACCCAAAGATATCTATCTAGACATAATGAAAGTAAATAATAAAAAACTGAAATCTATTGCAAAAATGTTCATAGAAGAGTTTACAACAAATAGATGAAATGAGAAAGTTACTGTTCCATTACATAAACTAGAGAAAAAGGGATGAAATCCAAGTTCCCATAAGGATCCTTTAGCAAAGATGTAAAGAAATTATCCTAGCTACCATATTCTACTTAAGCTGTAAGAAAAACCTAGGTTTCTGTGCTTTGGAATGTACTAAAAGGGAAAGAATAAAAGATGTTGCCTTTTCAGAAATTTTTGCTTTTATATGCTCAGTTAGCATCGTGTTCCCACAATCAGAAATTCGTGTCCCCACAAATTTTTCCTGCAGCACTCAACTTCAGCTCTTTAATCTAATTGCTAAATTCCTTCAATTTCCTTCCAAGAAATTCTAATGCCAGCAATTAAAATATGAATGGTTTCTCAATTTTCCAGTAATACAACAATTCATTGAATTTTTTAATTAATTGCATTAACTTATAATTTAAATTCAATGAAATATGCCAAAAATCATAAATTTTCTAGATGAGTTAGTTACTCATTAGTTACATTCATTGATAATCACTCGAGAAGAGTATGTGTGTACTTATTGAAGAGCAAAGATCAAGTACTATAAGCATTCAAAGATTTTCATGTTCAGGTGGAGCGTGAAATTGGAAAGAAGCTGAAGTGTTTGAGAACAGACAATGATGGACAATACAGAGGTCTATTCGAAGCCTATTGCAAGGCCTATGGGATCAGACTGTAGAAGACCCCACCAAAGACTCCTCAGGTAAATGGTGTAGCGGAGAGAATGAACTGGACAATTGAAGAGAAAATTAGATGTATTTTGCAAGATGTAAACCTATCCAAGTCTTTCTGCGGTGAAGCTGTGAAGATTGCAATCGATTTAATCAACCTGACACCTTCAAGACCCTTGAAAGGAGAAATCTCAGAGGAAGTATGGTACAAGAAGAAGGTATCCTTCAATCATTTAAGAGTCTTCGGATGCAGAGCCTTTGTACACATTCCAAAAGATGAAAGAAAGAAGCTAGATGCTAAGATCAAGGAATGCATATACCTTGGGTCTCCCAAAGATAAATTTGGGTATAGACTGTGAGATCCTATCAACAAAAGAATTGTGAGAAGCAGAGATGTTATGTTTTTCGAGGATCAGACAATCAAAGATATTGAGTAGAAAAAGCAATCGAAGCCTAAGGTTTCTAATGATTCAGGGGAAGAGATTCCTCAACAAACAAATCTTGATCAGCAACCAGATCAGTTGCACCAGCAGATAGATCCTGCTCACGCACAAGACCAGGCAGATCTTGATTAGACAGATGAAGATACACATCTTGATAAGATGGAGTCAAACACACAGTTAGAACAAGAGCCTGAGTCAGTAGAATACCAAATGCAAGCCGAATTAAGGCGTTCTAGTAGAGTCATAAAGCCATCCACAAAATATCCTCCTGAAGAATATATCACATTGACAGACAATGGTGAGTCCCATAACTTATCAAAAGCTATGGAGACTGATGAGAAAGGAGAGTGGATTAAAGCCATGGAAGAGGAGATGAACTCTTTACACTAGAACCAAACTTATGAGCTAGTTGATCTGCCCAAAGGTAAAAATGTCTTGAAGAACAAATGGGTGTATAGGCTCAAAACTGAAGACGGAAGCTTAAGACCAAGGTACAAAGCTCAAATTGTTGTGAAAAGGTGCAATCAAAGGAAAGGAGTTGACTTTGATGAAATATTCTCACCAGTGGTGAAACATTCCTCCATAAGATTATCTTCGGGTCTGGCAGCTTCTTTAGACTTAGAAGTTGAACAACTTGATGTCAAGAAAACATTTTTGCATGGAGACATCAAAGAAGAAATCTATATGGAGCAACCTGAAGTCTATGAAGAACTAAGCAATGAACACTTAGTGTGTCGTCTAAAAAAAAGTCTATACGATTTGAAACAAGCACCCAGACAGTGGTACAAGAAGTTCGAATCCTTCATGACCGAACACAGTTTTAAGAAGACAACTGGTGACCATTGTGTGTTCATCAGGAGGTATGAAGATGAAACTTTTCTTATACTATTCTTATATGTTGATGACATGTTGATCATAGGGCATGATAAGACCAAGATTGCTAGTTTGAAGAATGCTTTAAGCAAGTCTTTTGCTATGAAAGACTTAGGTCCTACAAAACAAATTCTTGGGATGAAGGTGATTAGAGATCATTCCAAGAAGTTGATATGGCTGTCACAAGAGAAGTACATTGAGAAAATTCTTAAGAGATTCAACATGGATAACTCAAAACTTGTTAGCATTTCACTTACTGGACATTTCAAGCTGAGCAATGCACAATGCCCAACCAGTGATGAAGAAAAGACAGAGATGAGCAGAGTGCCTTATTCTTTTGTGGTAGGAAGCCTAATGTATGTCATGATTTGTACAAGACTAGATATTGTCCATGCAGTGGGAGTTGTGAGTCGATTCTTGTCCAATCCTGCAAAGAACACTGGAATGCAGTGAAGTGGATACTAAGATACCTGAAAGGAACTACCAAAAGATGTCTGTCTTGGTGTGGGCTGTCTGTGTATGTACTAGTACCATATTGAACCCCCATTCATGATTCTATGATCTTGGTGTTTTTTTCTCTCTTTCTCCTCTTGTTGCCTTGCTGTCTTCTGGGCTGGTAATATATGCTAAATGTAGTAGGGATTATTGCTACTACACAAGCCTACTACTCTGTTTCTCCAGTTTATCCTATTAGGATTATGTTGGATGCAGCTTACAATGTCTTTATTGAGTGCAGCGTTTGGATAAGAAGGGAGTAAGCTTTTGTACACGGACAACACATGATGATAATGCTACAACAAATGCAATTGAAATATATGACAGTTTGAGGTATTTTTCATACCAAGTTTATTTGTCCTAGTTTGGAACATTGCTTGACATGAAAAGTTTTGCAGTGGTGCAACTCATCTTATAGCTTCCAATAATGATTGTGGTGTGAGGGAATATGACACAGAAAGGTTTCAGCCTTTAAATCACTTACAGTTTCCTTGGCCAGTGAATGTGAGCACTCTCTAAGCAATCAGAGTTATGCAGTATATTTTTTTTCTTCTGTTTTCCTTTTTCAATTACTGCTTGTTGGCTAATTATTCTCCATTCAGGTTGATTCTCTTATACTGCTGGATTTTTTTGGTTGATAAGAAAATAAATTGTATTAGAAATAGAAAGAGAAAACAGTACAAAAAGATGCAGGATAAGGAATGTCAGAATGGATAAAGAAAACCAAAACAAAGACACCAAAACTGAAGTCTGTAACCTATAAAACTAGCCAGTGTAGAAGAGCTGTCCAATCTCTTTGCATATCCTACCTGCTAATTCCATGGTATAATACATGTGCTTAACACCTAAGGGAAGCTACATAACAATTCTATCCATAGCTAATAAGAAGCACCCTTATAGATACAAGCATCCCTTTCCCTATTGCATACACCACAAAAGCCCATAAACCACATACGGCCATGTTTTGTTTTTCATCTGAATTCTTATTACTAAACCTTTGAAAGTGGGCCTCAAGAAACTGATCCAACAGACTAGGACACACTCATTTCTTACCCGAAAATACCTAAAAAATTATTTCAAAAGTAGCTAACAGCTGAACAATGCAGGAAATAGATGAGCAAAGACCCTGGCTTAAAACCACACATAACACACACACACACACACACACACATGCAACTTGCGATTACAGTTAATGCTATCAGGTATTACTGTCCAAAAAACAAATGACCTAAGAGGAAGCTTTGGATTTCCGAATTGACGTATCATGGTAAATCTTTCCCTTGAAGGAGAATGAGAGAAATTGAAAATAAGATTTGCACGAATATTTGTATAAAAAAAGAAAGAAGAACCCAGGTTCCAAATTCCATATTTTTAATAGAAGGAAAGAGTGTAATCAAGTAAAGCCAAGGCGGACTGACATTGACTAGTTTTGCTATCGTTCAAATTTCTTGTACTGTTGGATTGTCTTAGCTGATTTTCTTGCTTTTTGCCTGGCAGTTTCATTCACAATGTGTGTGAACTTCAGCTATTTTCTTTTACATTGTTTCTACATACAAGAAAATGCAGTTTTGAGGATATTTTTACTACTTTTTTAAAAACAATTTGTGGTTATTATTTTATATAATTTTATATATAATGCATTGATTCCTAACAATTCACTCTTGATGTAGCACACATCAATTAGTCCAGACCGTAAGCTTATGACTGTTGTTGGAGATCACCTCGATGGACTGCTAGTGGATCCTCAAAATGGGAAGGTACTTGTTCCTCTGGTCATGCATTTATTGGAATTTTCTGTTCATGTGCATTCTCTTTTCTTCCTGTGAATATTCTGTGTCTGTCTTTGCTTAGCTTATGATGGTCTTCTAATTCATCAAGCCTTTGCTAATGGATCAAATCCTTTATTTTTTAAAATTTCTTCTAAATTTATGTCTATGATTATTATTTTTTTTGGTGGAGAATGATGGATATAGTTGTAAAGCTGATTAACTTTCCTGTTGGGCTTGTAGATGTTGTAAATCCTAAAGGAAAAAAAATCTGCTTGTCTTTGTTTTGTTAACTTCTTGAAATTTTCTTTTTTATTAAATTATGGTAGAAAGCTGTGCCTTTAGATTCAGGAGGAATAATCATTTTAGGTGTTTCTTATTCCTCCCGTTATTATTTTTTGTGATTCATTTTCATCAATTTGAGACTAATTCCTATAACTTTTTATATTTTGTTTGTGCACATGTTACTGGTCTATTCCTCTTATGTCAATCATTGAACGAGAAAATGTGAACAAGCAAAACTTTCGTTGATTATACATGCTGTGATATAAGTAGTCACTGTTAAGCATCTCAAAGGGTCAGTGAATGCATACTAGATATGAGAGAGGGAGACAGAATTGCAAAATACCAATGCAATGAGAGTAAACACTACGAAGTTACTTTTTAGCTTTATACTTCACCAAAAACAGCATATTAAGAAGTAACTTCCACTAACATATTTGGGACTTGTTTGATGTTTTAGACTGTTGCAACATTGGTTGGTCATCGTGATTACTCTTTTGCTTCTGCATGGCATCCTGATGGACATACCTTCGCAACGGGGAATCAGGATAAGACTTTCAGAGTATGGGATGCTAGACACTTATCGTCTCCTATTGCCATTCTCAAGGGTAACATAGGGGCAACACGGTCTATTCGGTTTTCTTCGGATGGTCAATTTATGGTGGTTGCTGAGCCTGCAGATTTTGTGCATGTTTATAGTACAAAGGCAGATTATAAAAAACGTCAAGAGATTGATTTCTTTGGGGAAATTTCTGGGTTTTCTCTGAGTCCTGATGATGAGTGTATGTATATTGGAATCTGGGATCGGACTTATGCGAGCTTGCTACAGTATAATAGGAGGCACCAATATGAATATCTTGAATCCTACTTTTGATCTTTGATTCGTGCTGGTTGATTTAGGAGTATCCTTAATGTTAATTTGTAGAGCAGTTTGAGATTCTATATCTTTCCCCTTTGTTTTTGGCAGTATTTTAGGTCAGTATGATTAATGAAGACCATAGCATCCTAAGATATTTGTACAATGTAATCATTCCTCACCTTAATTCCTTGTATTTCTGAACTTTTGATGTGAATGCCACCACCACAAGTCGCTAAATTGGTATTAATGTTATGTTGATTGGCATTAGGTTGTGTGTAACTTTACTTGAACCAAACGATTTGGTCAATCGAAGGGGACATCTACACTTTCCCAAGAATGTTCTCTTTAAAAATTAGCAGGCCATTCTTCCTTGTCAGATAAGTTTCAAAAAGACTAAATAGAAGACAGGTACAAGTTATTTACTGGAATTTATATGAAATTCATCTATAAATTAAAGCTAAAAGTTAGTTAGTAATCATATAATTACTTAAAAAAGTTACTTTATTTATTTTCTTATTTTTACTCATTTAGATAAAACCTAAATATCAAATTTCATTTTATTTTTTTTCCCATAATAGTCAAATATTTTCATGAATTTTTGTGTGTTTATCCACGTGTATAACTTTTCAGACTACAATTTTCTCGTATCAATACTTGTCCCTTGAAAGAATGTTTTTTTAAAGAACAAAAAGAAAAAACTTGTATTTTTTAATTTTAAATTAAAATAATTAATATCATACATAGTAATTAATACATTTATGCTAAAATATTAATTTATACCCTCTTCTTCGGACCTAAGTTCCGAGAGTATGAGCTTACAACCGTTCTTCAACCCAACGCTTCGGAGTCTGTGAGCTAATCTTCGGTTGGGGTTCGAAACATGCACTTCTCGTAAGGTAGTCAACGACCAGAGTTGTTCAGGAATCTCTTCCAGCTCATCGCAGTTCTTGATGACCAGATTTTGGAGACGCGGCATTGCACCTTTCTCTAATCTCCATCTGATGACACCCACTCCACTCATCTGAAACACTTTTAGTCGTGGGAACTCTCCAGCGCCAACCGTGAGGTGATTTAAAGGATCACCATAATAATTCCCCTTTAGTTTCAAAATTTGGAGTCTGGCAAGCTGTCCTACAGTCTTCATATTCTTCAAAAATATGAATACATTCCCCGGATGCATGAAAACATGGAGGGTTATCTTTTTAAGATTTGATGGAAACACATTTCCGACTGACGGAAGTTCTAGGAAGTTATTAATTTTGAGGCTATGGAGATTGGTGAGGTGGTTTAGACTTAGTACGGGCTTACGTACTTGCGGATAATCATTCTCAGAAAATAACACTAATTTTCTCAACCTGGAAAATATCCCATTGTTTAGCAGGGACACCAAATCTTCACGCTCAAAACAGCTTAGAAAGAGGGTTTGCAAGTTTCCCTTTATTTTCCTTTGTGATTTTGGTAGGATTTGTATCTTCTTAACATCCCTTATATAAAGAAGTTTCAGTCGCTTGAGCTTCCAGATTTCGTTGGAGACCCACTCTGCTTTTCGTACCTCGAGTGTTTCTAGATTCCTGAGGTTACGTATAGAAGCTGGAATGCTACTGATCCCTGCATCTATTCTCAAGTACCTTAGATGGATCATTTTCTTGAAATCAATCATGAGTGCTGAATTATAGTAACCTTCGGTGTTTGAATATATCACGCGAGCCAACTTGAAGCTATTCAGACGAACATCCTCTCGGAACTTTTTCCCCTCAGAAAAGAAGAACAAGGAACGAGTGCACAACTGATTCAAATTGTTTATAGACACAGTAGATGATTTCTTGCATTGGATGGACAATCTACGATTAGCATTGCTCAGGGTATCCACGTTGTTGGGATCTGTGCAAATCTCCATAAACTTCTCAGATTTGCTATCTGATATGCAGAGATCGCGAAGAAGATCATGAATTCGACATGTCTTGACACGCCCATCGCTCTTCCTGCTTGCCACTTGCACTAAGCTGCGATCCACTAGCTCATCCAGGTAGTACTCTGCAACATCCTCTGGTTCAGCTGCACCTTGGATTCCAGCTTCTTGCGGTTGAATGAACCCTTCAGCCATCCACATTTGGATCACATCCCTCGCCCTGATCTCATAGTCCTCGGGATAGATTCCAAAATACAGAAAGCACGGCTTCAATCTTTGAAGCAGGCTGTCGTAGATAAGCTTTAGTATATCCATCACTTCCATTTTGTCTTGAGTAAGATGCCAAGTGATGTTCTTGATTCTTGTCCACTCTCTTTCTGACTTCTCTTTCTTCGACACATATCCTGCCAAGACCACAATGGCAAGTGGCAAGCCCTTGCAACTCTCAACAATAGATTTGCCGAGAGGCTCCAGATCAGGAGGACACCCTTTACCTTGAAACACTTTCTTAGAAAAAAGTTGCCAACTTTCTTTTTTGTTGAGGAAGGGAAGATGGTAGGGAGATGTGGTTCCTACATAGTTTGCGACTTCCACTCCACGGCTAGTTATCAGTATTCTGCCAATGCTGTGATCATCGTCTGGAAAGGCATCCGCTATGCTGTCCCACACTTCAGTTTTCCATATATCATCGAGCACTACAAGGTACTTTTTCCCCTTCAAGTATTCTCTCACTTTTGTCTTCAGTTTTTCCTCACTTGTAGCAATAGCTTCAACTTCATATTCCTTCTTCTTGAACAAATCATCATATTCAGATGTGGACAGCAAACATTTGAGAAGGCTCAGCAAAAGCTCCCTCGCTCTGTAATCGTTGGAAACATAACCCCATGCACGAAGAGTAAAGCACTTCTTCACTTGTTCGTTGTTATAAATCTTCCGGGCAAGAGTGGTCTTACCCAACCCTCCCATGCCGATTATGGAAGCAACTTTGCGACCTGAATCACCTTCTTCCATGAGCTCCTTAATCACAGAGTTTGAGTCATTCACGAACCCCACTACGTCTTTTTCTTCCACGTCCTTCCTCTTTTCGCGGAGTGATTCAGCAGCAATAGCATCAACATCTTCACGTGTGGATGCACCTTCTGTGATGCCGTATCTCTCCCTGTTTTTATAGATCTCATCAATACGGTTCTTGATGTTCTCTATCTCAGCATCCACGTCCTGAAGCACCATGACACGTTGTTTCAAGTGGAACAACTTGCTTACTATGTTTCTGCTCCTATGTTTGGCGACGCTGGCAACGTAGATGTCAACAACATCCTCGGCCATAAAGACAACATCTCTGATTTGGTTGACCACTTCTTTGACAACCTCATCACTGCGCTTGCCTGTGGAGTCTTTGAGGAAGATCTTTAAAAACCTGAGCTCATTGCTCAGTAAGTTGATTTTGTTCTTAACGCCCGAAAGCAACTTTATTTCATCCTCAAGAAGCCGTGACAAGTTCTGTAGCAGGAAGCTAACAGTAGCGTCCACCATATCTGCGGCACACAGATCGAAAGAGTAAGGGAATTGGTTAGTGAAAAAGAAGAAGAAAAATTAGTCGCACTGAGTGTGTGTATTGTCAAGACTTCTGAGTAATAAATAACGACAACACATTAACAGGTCATTCAATGTTATAGAAACGATCACATGATCCAGCTGTAAATCATCATGGAAACGTTGGAGCATATTAATTCCAATTAGTGTTTGATGCAAACATATACCTATTCATTGATCTGCTCTATATTATATGGCCCCATAAGTTGGGGATTGCTAGTGACCTTTTTCCAGAGCTATTTTAACACACAAAATGAGTATTTATACTAGACATTTGGTAATTTTTTAATGTTAAAATATTATTTTATAATTATTTTTTACTATATTAATATTATTTAAACTCTTTTACATATAAAATAATTTTAAAAAAAATATTTCAATACTAAAAAATATTGGTGTTTGATGCAGACACCCATTTCAGATGTTAAAATAGCACTGCTTGGTGTTTGATAGATGTCACCACCTATTTCTTATGCCAATTACAAGTATTTTATTATATTTATTAATGAATTTATTTTTTTCTGTCCAGTGGTTTTATACATACATTTAGACAAAATTTTCTACCGTGATCAAAATTTTGTTCTCTAAAGAGGGAGGAGAATAGATACCTCCTTTTCATTCTAGGAATTCCTTCAAACTTAAGGAATTAATTTTCAAAGATTTTGTCCTTTCAACTCGACAACAAAATGGAACAGCTAAATGAAAAAAATCAACATTTTCATCATGCATTTGCTAGTTTTTGGTGTGAAATTCTTTCTACTGCAGTATTTATCATTAACAAGTTACCTTCCCTTACATTTGACAATACCACTCCAATATATAATTATGATAGCCTTGTAAATTCATCATGCATTTGCTTCCAATAATGATTGTGGTGTTAGATAGATAATATGACACAAAGGTTTCAGCCTTTAAATCTTCCAGATTCCTTGGCCAGTGAATGTGAGCACTCTCTAAGCAATCTGAGTTATGCAGAATATCTTTTTCTTTTTTCTTTTCCCTTCCATTTTCAATTACTGCTTGTTGGCTAATAATTCCCCGTTCAGGTACATTCTCTTATACTGCTGGATTTTTTTGGTTGATTAGAAAATAAATTGTATTGGAAATAGAATGAGAAAACAGTACAAAAAAAGATGCAGGATAAGGAATGTCCGAATGGATAAAGAAAACCAAAACAAAGACACAAAAGCTTTATATAAATAAAAATTCGATCACTAAAATTTAAATTATTAATATAAATATTAACAGTTTATATTATCATAATAATGTATGATTATACTTACTAAAAATACCTTAATATAAAAAAATAATCCCAAGTAATTTTTAAGTATTTTATTTTTTAATATTTTAAATAATAATTATTAAAATAATTTTTTTAAAAAAATATTTATTTGGACATTTTTGCCACACATTAAAACTATTTTTTTAATGAGTTTTTCTCTTGTGGAAGAAATTTTAGGGGATTGTGATATGATATGTGTCATAATTTCAAAATTTTAATTAATCTGATTTTTATTATTTATAATTATAAAATATTTAATTAAAATTCAATCTATATATTTATTATTTATAATTATAATTAATATTTATTATTTTAATTATTCTAATTTTAAAAACAAATATAGTTTTTTAATCATATTTTTTTAATAATAATTTATTAAAATCAGATTAATTAAAATTAGATTAATTAAATAGTAAGTGATATGTGTGAATTCATAAAGTCTTAACTCTTAAAAGGCCGACCCTTGCTCATTACTTAACACGTATCAGTGTCAAACATAGAAAATATCGACTTCTGAATGACAATTTTGCTTATTAAACGACACATGTCAACTTAGTATAAGTGTGAGTATCTGTAAATTATAAATATGAAGATTAAAGTTATTATTCATGTAATATGGAGCTAAATACATTTATTTATTTAAAATACAAGTATAAAGATGACTACTATACCTTACAATTTTCGTGGACTGATTAAAAATATATTTTAAAACTTAAAATAGGTGTTAGTTGAAGTGTACTTTAAAACTTTAAATAGAGATTTTTTTTGCTACATTAAATAGAGATTTTTGTTTCATTTCAAATTAGCCTATCACATTAACAAATTAGAAACACACATAATATTAATCAATAAAAATAGTTTTTTTAATTAAGATTGATTAGATTTTTTTTATAAAAAAATTGCATGAGGTGATAAAAAACTTTAAACATACAAATAGTTTACCTAAATACAAGGACTCATAATATAAACAAATGCCTAATTGTGTTTTTCTATAATAATTCAACTTAGGTTTCTTAACGAATAAAAAATTTAAAGACAGTTTAAAAAAAAAAACAATAACAGCAAAATCTGAGTCCAATCATTTTGTGATTTCATTTTCAAGCACTTGTTATTTGTCACCACCCCATAAAACATGAACCAATCTGGAGCCAAATGACAAGCATTTGCTTTAGCGTATTATCTAATTTAGCTTCCTTATAATTAACTTCTGGACTTGAGCTTCATTTTCACCTAACATATAACAATTGTTTATAAGTGTTAACTTGGTGTTGCTCTATGAGATTTAGATAACACAATTAAAAAAGGAAGTACCCATACATTAAGCATCCACCAATCCTTCATTTTAGACATGCATGATAGATACAATGAGTGAAAATGTTATACTAAAAGGAAAAGTAACAAACTTGCTTCAAGATCAAGCATTTATATCAGGATGAATGTGATGTTAAATTGGGCAACTGCCTCATATGCCACCAGTGATGAGCAGTAACAGATTTTTCTTTAATCTTTCTTCTTTGCATATTTTTCTGACTTTTAATATTGAGATTTAGTTAGTTGCTGTGGTTGACCTTTTCTCAATAAAGCTTACTTTTTTTGTAATAAAAGAAAAATTCAAGTACTAAGCTATCCAAATTTTAACTTCAATATAAAAAAAAGCTAAATGCTGACTCATACATTAATTTAAATAAACCAAAGCATCTACATGTAAATGAAGTTATATTATAGTAAAAATGAAAGCACAACATTAGAACAGTTGCGGAACAAGGGAAAAGAAACTAAACAAAAATTGAGATTAAAAGTGGAAATGTAGCACTCATGAGGAAGGTGTCCCATATAGAATTAACGAGCTTACAACCATTCCTCGTCTTCATATTTTCGCAGGTGTGGTAGCTGAACTTCATTTTCAAATTAATTTCACTTGTGTGTATATTAAGAAAGCAAAATGGGAGAATCTTCAAATCTATTATTGTCTGTTATTAATCCTTTGATTGTACTGTTCTGCATAAGTTGGACTACGTCTTGTCTATACAATCACATGTCAATCTTGGATTGGAGACAACGCTACCGTTTATTTTTGTAGGTCATTAATGGCCTGGCAAAATGTAGGTCTGGGTAGTTTGAATGTTTGATAATTGATTTTCAAACCTGATGGAGAACTATTACTGATAAATGATTTGAAATCATATATTTTTTTTACCAAATTCTCTTAATTATTAAATGAAAAAACTTACTATATATATATTATTTTATTTAAAATAATAATTTTTTTTTATCCAATACTTAATTTATTAAGTAATTAAAAGATATAAAAAAGCTATGTTCCGCAGAGTCTCTTTTGGTGTTGACAGTGGGATGGGAGGAGAAAAATGAGGTGCCTTTTAACGAATTTATCCTGTAATAGCCAGTAATAATATTTAAGTACCGACTTGCTGTGGTTGACCATTTTTTAAGCATGTTTCTTTTTGTAATAAAGAATTAATCTAAAACCTTACCATCCAAATTTTAAAGTAAAAATATAAAAAAGGAGTCAAATGCAGACTCATACTTATGCAAAACACTATTGCTAGCTTTGATGATATTTAGAAATTTGGAGGTTGGACAGTTGTACTAAAGTCTTGATATTCTTCAAAAACATGATTTCACTGTTGATGTATTTTTCTTGCAAGGTTATCTTGGTCAGATTTTTGGGAAATGCATTTGCGTCTGATGGAAGTTCTTCAAAGAGTCATTTATTTTCAGGCTGTGGAGCTTGCTAAGGTGGCCATAACTTTGTATTAAATATCGGAGAATTTGATATAAAAAGAGTGTGTGTGAGAAAACTGAGAATCTGAAAATGTTATTACCACTTCAGAATTTTAGAATGACTACAGTATTTATACAGTAATACGATGGACTGACAATATGTTACAATCGGAACTGTAACTAACTGAGTTAGTTAATATAGTTACAATTGTCTGAGAAGGAATACAATACTGAACTTATGCGAGCTTGCTACAGTATAATAGGAGGCACCAATATGAATATCTTGAATCCTGCTTTTGATCTTTGATCTTTGTAGAGAGCAGTTTGAGATTCTATATCTTTCCCCTTTGTTTTTGGCAGTATTTTATGCAGGTCAGTATGATTAATGAAGACCACAGCATCCTAAGATATTTGTACAATGTAATCATTCCTAACCTTAATTCCTTGTATTTGTGAACTCTTGATCTGAATGCCACCACCTTAAGACGCTGGGATTGGAAACAGATTTGTTTAAAGTGTTACCATCCGAAAGCTGTGACAATAAATGAAAGAAACCCGCAAACTCTGTGAAAGCAAATTAATTGAAGGGTTATTTTGTTTGATGATTGCTTTACACTTTGGAACATCATTATAACAAATTAACGTAAAAGCAATTTCATTATCGACAACAAACTTTTGGAATGAGACAACTTTGTTTATCTCGTCTACATTTTTCAGAGAATATTCTCTCTAAATATTAGTGGGACATTTTTTTTTGGTAGATAAGTTTCAAAAAGACGTTAGTAAATAGAAGACAGGTAAGTTATTTAGATTTATTTGAGAGTTTAGAAAGAGAGAGAAAAAAAGTGTTTGAAGGGAAGGAGAAAGGTTAATTTTTTTTTAAGAGTTTAATATTGAGAAGGGAGTGTGATGAAAAGTTTAATTATGTAATAATATTATTATATTTTATATCTTTTATTTATATTATTTATTTTTTTTAAAATAAATATTTTTTTTCTAAAAAATTAAAACTTTTAAATTAATATTTTTATTTCTTATAAAATTTTTTAAAAAAAATTATTTAAAAATTAACATTTTTTTTAAGAAAAAGTTAGAATCCTAACTATGAAAAGAATTCTATGTAATAGGAAAACTCGAAAAATTAGAGTTTAAATTTTAGAGAATTTAAAAAAATTTATAAATTATTTCTTTCTAATTAAGTAACTCTTAAACAAAATTTAATCTTTCATAAACTTACATTTTCCTTCTCTTTTAAACATAACTCATAAACATAACTTTAGTAGAATTTATATAAAATTCATCTAAAATTTAAAACTAAAAATTAGTTAATAATCATATAATTACTTTAAAAAGTTACTTTATTTATTTTCTTAATTTTACTCATTTAGATAAAACCTAAATATCAAATTTCATTTTATTTTTTCTCTCATAATAGTCAAATATCTTCATCAAATTTTGTGTGTTTATCTAAACATGTATAACTTTTTAAGGAACAATTTTTTCATACCAATACTTGTTCCTTATATGTTTGAAAGAATTAGAAAAAAAGAAAAGAAAAAAAAAGTTATATTTTTTAATTTTAAATAAAAACAATTATATATTATTTATAATAATAAATTATTAATTAATTCATTTATGCTAATATATTAATTTATATCCTCTTCTTCGGACGTAAGTTCCCAAGCAAGGCCCGAGAGTATGAGCTTACAACCGTTCTTCAACTCCACATTTCGGAGTCTGTCAGATAATTCTTTGTTGGGGTTCAAAACCTGCGCTTCTCGTAAGGTAGTCAACGACCAGAGTTCTTCAGGAATCTCTTCCAACCAACGGCAGTTCTTGATGACCAGATTTTGGAGACACGGCATTGCACCTTTCTCTAATCTCCAACTTTTGACCTTAACTGAACTCATCTTAAACACTTTTAGTTGTGGGAACTCTCCAGCGCCAACCTTAAGGTCATTTAAAACATCATTAAAATAATTCTCTTTTAGTTTCAAAACTTGGAGGCTGGCAAGCTTCCCTACAATCTTCATATTCTTCAAAAATATGAGTTCATTCACCGGATCTGAGAAATCTTGGAGGGTTATCTTGGTAAGATTTGATGGAACATTTGCGTCTGATGGAAGTTCTAGGCAGTTATTAATTTTGAGGCTATGGAGATTGGTGAGGTGGTTTAGACTAGGTAAGGGTTCGTGGGAAGTATTATACGAAGAAAACATTAATTTTCTCAACCTGGGAAATATGTCATTGTTTAGCAGGGACACCAAATCTTCACCCTCAAAACATCTTAAAAAGAGGGTTTGCAAGTTTCCCTTTATTTTCCTTTGTAATTTCGGTAGGATTTCTACCTTCCAAGCATACATCCTTATATAAAGATGTTTCAGTTGCTTGAGCTTCCAAATTTCGTTGGAGACCATCTCTGCCCCGCCTACATCGAGTGTTTCTAGATTCCTGAGGTTGCGTACAGAAGCTGGAATGCTAATCACCGTTTTATCTATTCTCAAGTGCCTTAGATGGATCATTTTCTTGAAATCAGTCATGGCTGCTGACTTATAGTAGTGTCCTTCGGTTTTGAAATATATCACGCGAGCCAACTTGAAGCTTTTCAGAAGAACATCCTCTGGGAACTCTTCCCCCTCATAAAAGAAGAACAAGGAACGAGTGCACAACTGATTCAAATTGTTTGTAGAGAAATTAGACCATTCCTTGCATTGGATGGACAATCTACGAGGGTTATCATTGCTCAGGGTATCCATGTCGTTCGGATCTCTGCAAACCTCCACAAACTTCTCTGATTTGCTCTCTGAAATGCAGAGATCGCGGAGAAGATCATGAATTCGACATGTCTTGACACGCCCATCGCTCTTCCTGCTTGCCACTTGCGCCAAGCTCCGATCCACTAGCTCATCCAAGTAGTACTCTGCAACATCTTCTGGTTCAGCTGCACCTTGGATTCCAGCTTCACGTGGTTGAATGAACCCTTCAGCCATCCACATTTGGATCACATCCCTGGCCCTGATCTCATAGTCCTCAGGATAGATTCCAAAATACAGAAAGCATGGCTTCAATCTTTGAGACAGGCTGTCGTAGCTAAGCTTCAGTATATCCATCACTTCCATCTTGTCTTGAGTAAGCTGCCAAGTGATGTTCTTGATTCTTGTCCACTCTCTTTGTGATTTCTCCTTCTTTGCAACATGTCCTGCTAAGACCACAATGGGAAGTGGTAAGCCCTTGCAACTCTCAACAATGGATTTGCCGAGAGGCTCAAGATCAGGAGGACACCCTTTATCTCGAAACACTTTCTTATAAAAGAGTTGCCAACTTTCTTCTTTGTTGAGGAAGGAAAGATGATAGGGAGATGTGGTTCCTACATAGTTTGCGACCTCCATTTCACGACTAGTTATCAGTATTCTGCCAATGCTGTGATCATCATCTGGGAAGGCATCCTTTATCTTGTTCCACACTTGAGTTTTCCATATATCATCAAGCACTATTAGGTACTTCTTCCCCTTCAAGCATTCTCTCACCTTTGTCTTCAGTTTTTCCTCACTTGTAGCAATAGCTTCAACTTCATCTTCCTTCTTCTTGAACAAATCATCATATTCCCATGTGGACAGAAAACACTTGAGAAGGCTCAGCAAAAGCTCCCTCGCTCTGTAATCGTTGGACACATAACCCCATGCACGAGTAGGAAAGCTGTTCTTCACTTGATCATTGTTATAAATCTTACGGGCAAGAGTGGTCTTACCCAACCCTCCCATGCCGACTATGGAAGCAACTTTGCGACCTGAATCACCTTCTTGCATGAGCTTCTCAATCACGGAGTTTGAGTCATTCACGAACCCCACTACGTCTTTTTCTTCCACGTCCTTCCTCCTTTCGCGGAGTGATTCAGCAGCAATAGCATCAACATCTTCACTTGTGGATGCGCCTTCTGTGATGCCGTATCTCTCCCTGTTTTTATAGATCTTATCAATACGGTTCTTGATGTTCTCTATCTCATCATTTACTTCACGAAGCACCATGACACGTTGTGTTAAATGGAACAACCTGCAGATTATGTTTCTGCTTCTATGTTGGGCAACGCTGGCAACATAGATGCCAACAACGTCCTCGGCCTTAAAGCCAACATCTCTGATTTGGTTGACCACTTCTTTGACAAGCTCGTCGTTGCGCTTACCAATGGAGCTCTTGAGGAAGATGTCTATAAACTTGAGTTCATTGCAGAGGGACTTGATTTTGTCCTCAACGCCCGAAAGCAACTTGAATTCATCGCGCAGAAGCTGTGACAAGTTCTGAAGGAGGGGGCTAACAACGGCGTCCGCCATATCTGTAGCACAGAAACCCAAAGAGTTAGGGAACAATGTTAGTGAAATAGAAGAAGGAAGAAAAATGAGTGGTACTGAGTGCTTGTATTGTTAGACTTTTGGCCACCTTTGGCAAGGACTTAACAGTGCCCAGGAGCAATATAACTTAAATTATTCTTATTTTTTTATATTTTGTTTATTAAAAATGATAAATAGAAAAAAAAGATTTTAAAATATTTGAGCTCAACGAGTTTTAATTCTACCAAAATCATGATTACGTAATTTTGTGAGAAAAAACTTTTTCTGAAGGTTTGAGAAGTTGAAACTGAAAGCACTTTGAAAAAGCTAATCCTTTGAACAAATTTCTCTAACTTATATGTTAGAACGTTTCTTACAGGAACATCCTTTGTTGGAGCCTATGAGCAACCTTGGGACCCCCTTTAACCACCATAGAAGACTAACTGTACTGAAAAAGCTACCCATTGAGGCCATCATATACTCATCAATGACCATTTTTGTCGAATATTGATTAGCTTAATTGTAGATCCAAAATTTCACTTCAGGCCTTGTCAAATTGCTCAAGTATTAATGTCAAATTTTTGGCATAATCTTTGGGTTAATTCTCTAATTATGTCCCAATTTTAGCAATCAAAACCATCAAGGGTTGAGGGATACAGTTACAAAATTCAATTGATTAAACATAACCAATCACCCTCAATCTTCATAGCAAGATGAACATCAAAGCAGGGAATTATTTTCAAAATACGAACAACTACCAATTTATGTAAAATTTCAATGAATCATAGCACGGGTCTTAATTTCAATTCAATCGTATACACATTGAATTGTATTCAGCCCCTGTACCAAGGAAGATATGAGAGGGAGAAATATGTGTGTGTTTATATGATCGTGAAATGCAAGAATCTTAAAGTTCTGCGTCAAGGAATCATGTTCCCCTTTTATAAACATGCTCAAAGTCTATTACAAGATATTTTAAAAAATCTAGGTTTACTTAACAGATATGAGACAAAATTAAACAAACCAAAATTTACTTAAACGAATTTGAAGCAGCAAAAAAAGTTTATTAAAATAAATTCGTGTTTTTTCTCTTCTTTTACAAGTGAAATTTAATTTAGTTGAATTAATGATTTTTAAAATATTAAAAATTAATAAAACTGGTGATAAAATTAACTGTTTATAGTCCAACAAATGCAAAGATTTTTATTAGCATCATTAGAAATTCTTTTGAATACGATTGGTTTATAAATAATGTAAATATTTTCAAAATATTAAAAAAATAAAACAACTTTTTAATGATTTTATTGTTGTGCTGTTATGTTTCGCAGATGGACAGAAGAACTCCCCAAATGTGAAATATTCTAGGAGTGTATATGGAATGGAATATAAGTCATAGAAACAAACAAATTTCATAGAGGGAGATAAGTTGAAACAATGCACCTGGAATAGCTAGACAGAGATCAATAACATCAGCTGCTATGTTGAAAGTTGCAATATGCAGAAGAAATATGGCAAGAGCTAATTCTCAGACTTGACAGTTGACAGGGTATATACAAATCATATATAGTATAAATAAGGTTGGAGCTACCAACTTGCCAAATTAAAAGTAGAATGGTGTGATGAATCTAACGCTTGCATGTGGCTGTGAGTGTATAATAGGTAGGGTTCACTTTTGGGACACAAGCATGTAACTAAACAGAATTGAAGGGCAAAAAGCAACCAGCATATATACTCTTGCGGTGAGATGATTCATGGAAGCAAGTTTAACAAAGACATCTCTGAAATGCTCTCCCAATTACTTTTAGAAATTGATGAAAACAAGAAGAGAATATTCTTGAATTGCTTTTTAAGCTATTCCTTTCCAATTCCATATAGAACTTACAATAGGTGCCGATTGAACTGTGGTTTAAACAAAGACACCAAGTTATTTTCATACCTAACGAAAAGAATAAACTGTTAGTTGTTTTTAGAGATTGAAGCCGGTGAAGTATACGTTTGTTCTATTTTATAATTTTAAAGTTTAAATTTAATTTTTTATTTGTCAGAATATTTATTAAGTTTATCATAAATTTTTAAGACTCTGACTTATTCAGATAGTATTTTATTTATTTACTTTGTATTGAGATTTTAATAGACCATTAAATATTTTTATTTTTTTTTATAAATAAGCTAGAAAATCATCTAAACATGTCTGTCTAAAAAGCTTATAAGATTTACATTTAACTATGTCATAAAAATAGTTTAACACCTTAAATATTTATAGTAAAATAACATGTATTTATTTATTACTTTTAAACTACATATTTCATTTAAATAAGTAAATTATTATAAATATATTATGATTGGTTTTTCATTCCAATCTACCTATTTTAAAACTTAAAATTGCAGCTCAAGCTCAATACGCAACACATATTCTACGAATTTTTTCCCTCCTCTTTGTCAGTCGAAATTCAATTTAAAATTGTTAAGCAATTTGGCAGGTGTGGTACGTGAACTTCATCTTTCAAATTAATTTGACTCGTGTATATTGAGAAAGAAAATCTTCTAATCTTCTAATCTATTATTGTCCGTTATTAATCCTACAATTGTACTTTGCTTTAGAAGTTGGATTTAAGTTTTGTTTATACCAGCCCATGTCAATTTTGGATTGGAGACAACACTACCATTTATTTTTATGGGTAACTAATGATCTTGCAAAATGTAGCTCTGGCTAGAGTAATAATTGATTTTCAAGCATTATGGCGAACTATCATTGAGAAATGATTTTAAATCATTCTTTTTTTTTTAAATTCTCTTAATTATTAAATGAAAAAAATACTAAATATATTTTTTATTTAATAGTTAATACTTACTCTATGAAGTAAATAGATATGAAAAGGCCATGGAAATTGCGGTTTCTTTGTGTTTGACAGTGGGAGAAGGAGGTGCCTTTTCACGGATTTCAACTGTAAAAGCTGGTAGTAAAATTTGCTGTTATGTTCTCTTTCCGAATGTTGTGTTCAAATGATTCATCTTGGATTAGGCTGTGTGTAACTTTACTTGAACCAAACAATTTGGTCAGTCAAAGGTATAGAAAACAGAGAATTGTTTAGAGTCTTACCATCCCTAAGCTGTGACAATAAAAAAAATAAAACCACACACTCATAATTCACCAAACTAGGAAGTAGGAAGCCTACCCATTCACTGCCTTTGAAAACAACCGTTCTTCAACTCCATAACCCCTTCCTAGTTTCAAAATTCGCAGGGTGGCAAGCTTTCCTAGAGTCTTGATATTCTTTAAAATCATAAGTTCATTGTGGGGGTATTTTTCTTTCAAGGTTATCTCGGTAAGATTTGATGTTAACGCATTTGTGTCTGATGGAAGTTGTAGAGAGTTATTCATTTTCAGGCTATGGAGATTCGTGAGGTGGTTTAGACAAGGTAACGGTTTGTGGGGATTATTATACGAAGAAAACATTAATTTACTCAACCTGGGAAATATGTCATTGTTTAGCAGGGACACTAATTCTTGACCCTCGTAACAGTTTAAAAAGAGGGTTTGCAAGTTTCCCTTTTTTTTCCTCTTCGACTTTGGCAAGACTTGTACCTTCTCAGCATACCTTATATAAAGATGTTTAAGTCGCTCAAGGTTCCAAATTTCACTGGAGACCGTTCCTGAAACTTGTACATCAAGTGTTTCTAGATTCCAGAGGTTGTGTACAGAAGCTGGAATGTCACTGACCAGTGCATATTCTCAAGTGCCTTAGATGGATCATCATCTTCCAATCAATCATGGGTTCTGGATCAATCATGTTTGCTTCGGTTTCGAAATATATCACGCGAGCCAACCTGAAGCTTTCCAGAACATCCTCTGGGTACTCATCCTTCTCAGAAAAGAAGAAGATGGAACGAGTGCACAACTGATTCAAATTGTTAGTAGTCCACCATACCTTGCATTGGATGGACAATCTATTATTTTAAATTAAGATAATTATATATTATACAAATACATAATTGATATATTAATTTATATCTTCTCCTTCTGACCAAACCGCATCTTCGCTTTCCCTGACAACCCCTGAGATTACGAGCTTACAACTATTCTTCAACTCCACCCTTCGGAGTCTGTCAGCTAATTGTTTGCGCGGGTTCAAAACATGCACTTCTCGTAAGGTAGTGATAGACCAGAGTTGTTCAGAAATCCATCTCAACAAAGAGCAGTCCTTGATGACCACATTTTGGAGACACGGCATTGCACCTTCCTTTAATATCCAACTATTGATTAGAATTCCACTCATTTGAAACACTTTTAGTTGTGGGAACTCTCCAGCGTCAACATTAAGGTCAAACCAAATCTCATGATAAAACCCTTTTAGTTTCAAAATTTGGAGGCTGGCAAGTTGTCCTACAGCCTTCATATTCTTCAGAAACAAGGGTGCAGATTCCCCATATATTTCTTGGAAGGTTACCTTGGTAAGATTTGATGGAAACGCATTTGCTTCTGATGGAAGTTCTAGGGAGGTATTTATTTTCAGGCTATGGAGATTGCTGAGGTGGTCTAGACTTGGTAATTGTTTGATGGAAGTATCATACCAAAAAAAAATTAATTTTCTCAACCTGGGAAATATGTCATTGTTTAGTAGGGACACCATTCCTGGATCATGGGAACTGGTTAACAGGAGGGTTTGCAAGTTTCCCTTTATTTTCCGTTGTGATTCTGGTAGGACTTGTACCTTCTCAAGACTCCTTATATAAAGATGTTTCAGTCGCTTGAGCTTCCAAATTTCGATGGAGACCATCTCTGCAAAACGTACATCAAGGGTTTCTAGATTCATGAGGTTGCGTATGGAAGCTGGAATGCTAAGGTCCATTTTATCTACTCTCAAGTACCTTAGATGGACCATTTTCCTATCAACAGGAGGTAGTGAAAATAGGCAGAATTGCTCGCATTTTAAATAAACAACGCGAGCCAACTTGAGGCTTTTCTCACCAAGATCCATTGAGTAGTCGGTCTCGTCGGAAAAGAAGAAAAAGGAACGAGCGCATGATAGATTCGCATTGTATCCAGACTCATTAGACGTTACCTTGGATTGGATGGACAATCTACGAGGGGTAGCATTGCCCAGCGTATCCATGTCGTTGGGATCTGTGCAAACCTCCATAAACTTCTCAGATTTGCTCTCTGAAATGCAGAGATCGCGGAGAAGATCATGAATTCGACATGTCTTGACACGCCCATCACTCTTCCTGCTTGCCACTTGCACCAAGCTGCGATCCACTAGCTCATCCAAGTAGCACTCTGCAACATCTTCTGGTTCTGCTGGACTAGGGATTCCAGCTTCATGTAGTTGAATGAACCCTTCAGCTATCCACATTTGGATTACATCCCTCGCCCTGATCTCATAGTCCTCAGGGTAGATTCCAAAATACAGAAAGCATGGCTTCAATCTTCGAGGCAAGCTGTCATAACTAAGCCTTAGTATATTCATAACTTGAATCTTGTCTTGAGTAAGATGCCAAGTGATGTTCTTGATTTTTGTCCACTCTCTTTGTGATTTCTCCTTCTTTGCAACATGTCCCGCTAAGACCACAATAGCAAGTGGCAAGCCCTTGCAACTCTCAACAATGGATCTACCGAGAGGCTCGAGATCTGACGGACACTCATTACCTCGAAACACTTTCTTAGAGAAGAGATGCCAACTTTCTTCTACACTGAGAAAGGGAAGGTGATAGGGAGATATGGTTCCAACATAGTTTCCAACTTCCATTTCACGACTAGTTATTAGTATTCTGCCAACGCTGCCATCATCATCGTCTGCGAAGGCATCCTCTATGCTGTTCCACACTTCAGTGTTCCATATATCATCAAGCACTACAAAGTACTTCTTCCCTTTCAAGCATTCTCTCACCTTTGTCTTCAATTTTTCCTCACTTCCAGCAATATCTTCAACTTCATCTTCCTTCTTCTTGAACAAATCATCATATTCAGATGTGGACAGCAAACACTTGAGAAGGCTCAGCAAAAGCTCCCTCGCTCTGTAATCGTTGGACACATAACCCCATGCACGAAGAGGAAAGCACTTCTTCACTTGTTCGTTGTTATAAATCTTTCGGGCAAAAGTGGTCTTACCCAACCCTCCCATGCCGACTATCGAAGCAACTTTGCGACCTGAATCACCCTCTTCCACGAGCTTCTCAATCACGAAGTTTAAGTCATTCACGAACCCCACTACGTCTTTTTCTTCCACGTCCTTCCTCCTTTCGCGGAGTGATTTAGCAGCAATAGCATCAACATCTTCACTTGTGGATGCACGTTCTGTGATACAGTATCTCTCCCTGTTTTTATAGATCTCTTCAATACGGTTCTTGATCTTCTCTATCTCATCATTGACTTCGTGAAGCACCATGAAACGTTCTTTTAAATGGAATAACTTGCTCACTATGTTTCTGCTTCTATGTTCGGCAATAGTGGCAACGTAGATGTCAACAACATCCTCGGCCTTAAAGGCAACATCTCTGATTTGATTGACCACTTCTTTGACAAGGTCGTCGTTGCGGTTATCCATCGATCTCTTGAGGAAGATGTCTATAAACCTGAGGTCATTCCTAAGTGAATTTATTTTGTCCTTCACTCCCGAAAGCAACTTGAATTCATCGCGCAGAAGCTGTGACAAGTTCTGAAGGAGGGAGCTAACGACAGCGTCCGCCATATCTGTAGCAAACAAACCCAAAGAGTTAGGGAACAATGTGAGTGAAAAAGAAGAAGGAAGAAAAATGAGTGGTACTGAGTGCTTGTAAGACTTTTGGCCAACTTTGGCAAAGACTTAACAGTGACCAAGGGCAATAATCAACGACAACCTAATAACAGGTCATTCGATCGATGTTTATATTAGTATTATATTTTTTCATAAACATGTCCGAATAGTATAGAAATTGTCACATAATCCAGCTATAAATCATCGTGGAAACGTTTGACCATGTTAATTTCATGGATATATGTTTGCCCTAGTGTGACAGATTAAAAATATACTTTAAAACTTAAAATAGGTGCTGGTTGAACTGTAGTTTAAAGTTTTAAATAGAGATATTTTTTTCCTTTCAAATACGCCTACCACGTTAACAAATTTAAAACACGCCTAATTTTAATCAATATAAATGTTTTTTGAATTAAGCTTGATTTGATTTTTTTTTTATAAATTACATTTGGTCATAAAGAACAAGGACCGATGTTATAAATAAATGCCTTGTTATATTTATTTCTATAATGATTAAACAGATTTTTTGGTGATTAAAAAATTTAAAGATAATCTAAAAATAAAAAACATTAACAACAAAATCTAAACGGAGTATATAGTTTGTACAAATTGAACCTTTGCATTATGACTAAGTTCCAATCCTCACTGATTCCCTTCCAAACTGAAGAAAATGAAATAATCAGAATAAAAAGAAAAGAGGGTATCAGGCTTCCATTATTTTTTGCCAGAAATTTTAGAGAAGATGCTAAAACATTATTATTAGACAACTGATGCTAATCCATATACTATTTCAATCATTGATTACAATATGGCCCCGTCCAGATGGCGATTGCTGGTGACTTTTTTTTTTTACCACTTTTTTGCAAAAGTAAAATGGGAATCTTAACTTTAAGATAGCTTTTACATGGTGGGGCTACATTAGATTTTAGATAATACAATTCAAAAAGAAAAGTACCCTCATACATTAAGCATCCACCAACGGGTAATTCTAAGGTGCTCATAAAAAATAAGGTAAAAATAACTTTTGAAAAAGTTATCAAAAATTGTATTACAGAAAATTGGATGGTTAAAATTAGATTGTTATTTAAAATTAGATGGTTAAAATTGTATTACAGAAGATCAATTATTTAAGTTAAATTTATAAAAAGATATATTAGTAATTTCATTTTTTTTCCTCAGTTCGTGACAATTACAAGTTAAAAGTTTATATTCTTCATAGTTATTAAAACATAATTTGTTGGACAATACTTAATATAACTATCACAAAATATACAGATTCTGAAATCAGTAATGCAATAGTTTCTTTTCTTCTTTTTCTTTCATTTTATCGTGTGAAAGATTTTCAAATGGCAGAACCTTTATCCAGAAGACTATAATACTAAAAAATTTAGAAAATATTAAAATTTTAAAATCTTATTTATATTCTTGCTTCATCGTCTTCCTCTTTTTCTTCCTCTCTTACTCTCATCTTATTAGCACCATTAAAAATTCATAAATGATAGAATTTTAATACAGACAAATTTAAACTAATAAAATGACATGTTTTTTCCACTTTCTATGGGTATCAAGTCCCTGTTATATTTATTAACATATTGGAACAACGGAGGATAAGTAAATAATCAAAGCTTATATGTACTTTTGTATATTAAAAATTAGAAAACTCATTCGTATATGACTTTAAAAACAATGACATTTAAAAAAATTTTGCTACTTTTTACATCGATTCTCTGATGTAGAAGTATCTATGCACAAAAAAAAAAAATTTCTACATTTGTTCTTTCAACTGATGTAGAAAAGGCTCAATTCACATGATATTTGATCGGTATAATAGATATATATATCCATATGAAAATTAGAAATACAATATAATCAATTTCCATTGCGTCACCCAGAAGAAGTAAATTAAGTGATTTTTTTAATTCTTCTTTTTATTTTTCTTTTAACTTTAAAGAAAGAAAAAAAAGTATGGATGGACAAATATTACCCAGGAAAAGGGATATTTTGAAAAAATTAATGAAGTTCAAACCAATGTTACAATGACATTAAAAAAAATTTCTACTTTTTACCTCAGTGGAGAGAACTGGTGTGGAAGTAGCTACGCAAAAAAAAATAAAATTCTAGATCTGTTCTTTCGAGAGAACCAATATAGAAAGTTGTATTTTATTTTTTAAAATTACGACATCAACTTTATGAGAGAATCGATGTTACAAGGACATTCAAAAATTTTTACTACTTTTTACATTGGTTCTCTGGAGAGAACTAGTGTGGAAGTAGCTACGCAAAAAAATAAAATAAAATTCTATATATGTTCTTTTCAGAGAATCAACTTAGAAAATTGTGTGCCTTTTTTTTAAATTACAGCATCAGTTTATGAGAGTTGTTAAAGTAATTGCATGAAAAATAACTTTCTACATCAATTCTCTTCTCTCCAAATGTAGATAATGTTCGGTGTTTATTTGAAAATTTCTAAATGTGAACTGGAATGACCTCGCTAGGTGGAAAGTGTGAAACAAGCGTCGCATGAAGTAGTTTTCTTGCATGTGAAGTTTTGATTTGTTTCGTTAAACAATTAAAAGAGTGTTGACTTTGTCTCTGTTGAACATTTTTCATTATGTTTTCTCGAATTTTACTTTTTTTCAATCACGTTTCATTTTCTCCAACCATGTCTCATTGAAACCCAGATTGGTGAAAATTATAAAGGAATTTCCATAGAAAAAATCTCACCTTATTTAATTTTATCCAACAAATTTTAAAGTTTAGATAAAAAAAAATCTGAAAATGAATGAGGTTGAAAGGAAATGAGAGAGATTACAATAGAGGAGTTGTGATAAAGATGTTGTAGAGATGAAGAGGAAAGAGATAAAGAAAAAGTAGTAATTTACTTATTTACCCCTCATTAATATTTTATTATCTAATGTAGTCATCTGTTCCTCTTAATTTTTACTCTTTTCACTAATCAATCTTAGTCATTCATTTTATATCTACAAATATCAACGATTCAAAGTTAATTTCACTTTACCTATTAAAAAATATTATATTTACTTTTTTTTTGCAAATAATAGGAGGAGCTTAGAATCACCTCCACGAACTCTTCGTTTTAGACATGATAGATACAGTGAATAAAAATGATATACTAAAAGGAAAGGGAATAAACTTGCTTCAAGATCAAGCATGTGTCAGGATGAAATGTGATTTTAAATTGGGGAACTGCCTCATATGCCACCGGTGATGAGAAGTAACAGGTTTGTTCTTCAATCTTCCTTCTCGCATATTTTTCTGTCTTTTACTATTGAGATTCATGTGAGATTAAGTTACTGAATTTCTGTGGTTGACCATTTATTTTAAGCAGGCTTATTTTTTTAAAAAAAAGAAAAATTCAAGGACATGACTATCCAAATTTTAAGTATAAAAGAAGAGGTAAATGCCAACTCATACATTTATGTAAAACACTAATGTAATGCTATCTGTAATGCTATAAGGGGTACTAATAGTGACACGTAAACTGTAAACTCTGTTTGCTTTTTAAGAGATTAATGTAGAGATTGCATTGAGAATGGTAATGTTAATAACATCTATCTCATTCTCATTAATGTTAAAAACTTTTATATATAAAATAATTATAAAACAAATATTTTATCACTAAAAAATATTAAGTATCTGGTGTAGACACCTATTTTTAGGTGTTAAAATAGCACTATTCAATACAGTGTGATATTTGAGAGATGACTCTTATGATTATTTTTTATGCTAATTATAAATATTTTATAATTTTTAAACATAGTTTGATGATTGATTTTCAAACCTGATGGAGAACTATTACTGATAAATTATTTGAAATCATTTTTTTTTCAAATTCTCTTAATTATTAAATAGACAAACTTACTGTGTATATATATATTATTTTATTTAAAATAATAAATATTTTTTTTATCTAATACTTAATTTATTAAGTAATTAAAAGATATAATCTATGTTGCAATCTCTTTTTGTGTTAACAGTGGGAGAAGGAAAAGGAGGTGCCTTTTAACGAATTTCTCCTGTAATAGCCAGTAATAATATTTAAGTACCGACTTGCTGTGGTTGACCTTTTCTTAAGCATGTTCCTTCTTGTAATAAAGAATTAATCTAAAACCTTACCATCCAAATTTTAAAGTAAAAATATAAAAAAGGAGTTAAATGCGAGCTTGCTACAGTATAATAGGAGGCACCGATATGAATATCTTGAATCCTACTTTTGATCTTTGATTCGTGCTGGTTGATTTAGGAGTATCCTTAATGAAGACCACAGCATCCTAAGATATATGTACACTGAAATCATTCCTCACCTTCCTTGTATTTGTGAACTCTTGATGTGAATGCAACCACCATAAGTCGCTAAATTGGTATTAATGTTATTTGATTGGCATTAGGTTGTGGGTGTAACTTTACATGAACCAAACAATATGATCAATCCAAGGGGACATCTACACTTTCCGAAGAACGTTCTCTTTAAAAATTAGCAGGACATTTTCCTTGTTAGATAAGTTTCAAAAAGACATTAGTAAATAGCAGACAGGTACAAGTTATTTAGTGGAATTTATATGACATTCATCTATAAATTAAAGCTAAATGTTAGTTAGTAATCATATAATTACTTTAAAAAGTTACTTTATTTATTCTTATTTTTACTCATTTAGATAAAATCTAAATATCAAACATTTTGTGTTTATAGTCAAATATTTTCATGAAATTTTGTGTGTTTATCCACGTGTATAACTTTTCAAACAATTTTTCCGTAACAATACTTGTCCCTTGAAAGAATGTTTTTTTAAAGAACAAAAAGAAAAAACTTGTATTTATTAATTTTAAATTAAAATAATTAATATCATACATAGTAATTTATACATTTATGCTAAAATATTAATTTATATCCTCTTCTTCGGACTAAGTTCCGAGAGTATGAGCTTACAACCGTTCTTCAATTCAACGCTTCGGAGTCTGTCAGCTAATCTTTTGTTGGCGTTCGAAAGCTGCACTTCTCGTAAGGTAGTCAACGACCAGAGTTCTTCAGGAATCTCTTCCAACTTATCGCAGTTCTCGATTACCAGATTTTGGAGACACGGCATTGCACCTTTCTCTAATGTCCAACTTCTGACCCTCATTTTACTCATCTGAAACACTTTAAGTCGTGGGAACTCTCCAGCGCCAACATTAAAGTCAGTCCGTATATCCACTTTTAGTTTCAAAATTTGGAGGCTGGCAAGCTGTCCTACAGTCTTCATATTCTTCAAAAATATGAGTACATTCCCCGGCTGCATGAAACCATGGAGGGTTATCTTTGTAAGATTTGATGGAAACACATTTGCGTCTGATGGAAGTTCTTGAGAGTTATTAATTTTGAGGCTATGGAGATTGGGGAGGTGGTTTAGACTAGGTAAGGGTTCGTGGCGAAAATAATCCTCAGAAAATAACACTAGATTTCTCAACCTGGGAAATATGTCATTGTTTAGCAGGGACACCAAATCTTCACTCTTATAACATCTTAACAAGAGGGTTTGCAAGTTTCCCTTTATTTTCCTTTGTGATTTTGGTAGGACTTGTATCTTCTCAACATTCCTTATATAAAGATGTTTCAGTCGCTTGAGCTTCCAAATTTCGTTGGAGACCATCTCTGCACCACGTACATCGAGTGTTTCTAGATTCCTGAGGTTGCGTACAGAAGCTGGAATGCTAATCGCCCTTGCATCTATTCTCAAGTACCTTAGATGGATCATTTTCTTGAAATCAATCATGAGTGCTGAATTATAGTAGTATCTTTCGGTGTTTGAACATATCACGCGAGCCAACTTGAAGCTTTCCAGACGAACATCCTCTCGGAACATTTCCCCCTCAGAAAAGAAGAACAAGGAACGAGTGCACAACTGATTCAAATTGTTTGTAGAGAAATTAGACCATTCCTTGCATTGGATGGACAATCTACGAGGATTAGCATTGCTCACGGTATCCATGTCGTTGGGATCTCTGCAAACCTCCATAAACTTCTCTGATTTGCTCTCTGAAATGCAGAGATCGCGGAGAAGATCATGAATTTGACATGTCTTGACACGCCCATCGCTCTTCCTGCTTGCCACTTGCACCAGGCTGCGATCCACTAGCTCATCCAAGTAATACTCTGCAACATCTTCTGGTTCAGCTGCACCTTGGATTCTAGCTTCTTGCGGTTGAATGAACCCTTCAGCAATCCACATTTGGATCACATCCCTCGCCCTGATCTCATAGTCCTCGGGATAGATTCCAAAATACAGAAAGCATGGTTTCAATCTTTGAGGCAGGCTGTCGTAGCTAAGCTTTAGTATATCCATCACTTTCATTTTGTCTTGAGTAAGATCCCAAGTGATCTTCTTGATTCTTGTCCACTCTCTTACTGACTTCTCTTTCTTCGACGCATGTCCAGCCAAGACCACAATGGCAAGTGGCAAGCCCTTGCAAGTCTCAACAATGGATCTACCGAGAGGCTCGAGATCTGACGGACACTCATTACCTCGAAACACTTTCTTAGAGAAGAGATGCCAACTTTCTTCTACATTGAGAAAGGGAAGGTGGTAGGGAGATACGGTTCCAACATAGTTTGCGACTTCCATTTCACGACTAGTTATCAGTATTCTGCCAACGCTGCCATCATCATCGTCTGGGAAGGCATCCTCTATGCTGTTCCACACTTCAATTTTCCATATATCATCAAGCACTACAAGGTACTTCTTCCCCTTCAAGCATTCTCTCACCTTTGTCTTCAATTTTTCCTCACTTCCAGCAATATCTTCAACTTCATCTTCCTTCTTCTTGAACAAACCATCATATTCAGAGATGGACAGCAAACACTTGAGAAGGCTCAGCAAAAGTTCCCTCGCTCTATAATCGTTGGACACATAACCCCATGCACGAAGAGGAAAGCAGTTCTTCACTTGTTCGTTGTTATAAATCTTTCGGGCAAAAGTGGTCTTACCCAACCCTCCCATGCCGATTATGGAAGCAACTTTGCGACCTGAATCACCCTCTTCCACGAGCTTCTTAATCACGAAGTTTAAGTCATTCACGAACCCCACTACGTCTTTTTCTTCCACGTCCTTCCTCCTTTCGCGGAGTGATTCAGCAGCAGCAATAGCATCAACATCTTCACCTGTGGATGCACGTTCTGTGATACAGTATCTCTCCCTGTTTTTATAGATCTCTTCAATACGGTTCTTGATCTTCTCTATCTCATCATTGACTTCGTGAAGCACCATGAAACGTTCTTTTAAGTGGAATAACTTGCTCACTGTGTTTCTGCTTCTATGTTCGGCAATTCTGGCAACGTAGATGTCAACAACATCCTCGGCCTTAAAGGCGACGTCTCTGATTTGGTTGACCACTTCTTTGACAAGCTCGTCGTTGCGGTTACCCATGGATCTCTTGAGGAAGATGTCTATAAACCTGAGGTCATTCCTAAGTGAATTGATTCTGTCCTTCACGCCCGAAAGCAACTTGAATTCATCGCCCAGAAGCTGTGACAAGTTCTGAAGGAGGGAGCTAACGACAGTGTCCGCCATATCTGTAGCAAACAAACCCAAAGAGTTAGGGAACAATGTGAGTGAAAAAGAAGAAGGAAGAAAAATGAGTGGCACTGAGTGCTTGTATTGTTAGACTTTTGGCCAACTTTGGCATAAACTTAACAGTGACCAAGGGCAATAATCAACGACAACATAATAACAGGTCATTTGATCGATGTTTATATTAGTATTATATTTTTTCCTAAACATGTCCGAATAGTATAGAAATTGTCACATAATCCAGCTATAAATCATCGTGGAAACGTTTGACCATGTTAATTTCATGGATATATGTTTGCCTTAGTGGGACAGATTAAAAATGTATTTTAAAACTTAAAATAGTGCTGGTTGAACTGTAGTTTAAAGTTTTAAATATATATATTTTCTTCCTTTCAAATACGCTACCACATTAACAAATTTAAAACAGGCCTAATTAATATTAATCAATATAAATGTTTTTTTGAATTAAGCTTGATTTTTTTTTTAAATTACATTTGGTCATAAAGAACAAGGACTGATATTATAAATAAATGCCTTGTTATATTTTTTTTCTATAATGATTAAACTTAGATTTTTTTGTGATTAAAAAATTTAAAGATAATCTAAAAATAAAAACATTAACAGCAAAAATAACAACAAAATCTAAACAGAGTATATAGTTTGTACAAAATTGAACCTTTTCATTATGACTAAGTTCCAATCCTCACTGATTCCCTTCCAAACTCAAGAAAATGAAATAATCAGATTAAAAAGAAAAGAGGGTATCAGGCTACCATTATTTGGGATTTGGTTATTTTTTTTTGCCAGAAATTTTAGAGAAGATGCTAAAACATTATTATTAGACAACTGATGCTAATCCATATACTATTTCAATTATTGATTACAATATGGCCCCGTCCAGATGGCGATTGCTGGTGGCCTTTTATTTTTTACCACTATGCAAAAGTAAAATGGGAATCTTAACTTTAAGGTAGCTTTTACATGGTGGGGCTCCATTAGATAATACAATTCAAAAAGAAAAGTACCCTCGTACATTAAGCATCCACCAACTCTTCGTTTTAGACATGATAGATACAGTGAATAAAAAGTTATACTAAAAGGAAAAGGAATAAACTTGCTGGAGAAACAAATATTTATATTATTTCTTGATTTTCTGAAAATTATTGTTGTATAGATTTTATTTAATAACATGATGATATTTATGAAAATTGTGAAAGGAGCTGACTTGTTTGACAATTATAAATTATGATAAAAAAAGTGATTATAAAATTCTTATCGTTGGAAATGAATTTGGTAAATATTCTCAAAATAATTTTGCAAAACATATGTTAGAGAATCCTAGGATCATAATTAGTTAGATCGAAAAAAGAGAGATATTCATTAGAAATTAATCATTAGAAAAATTAATTTTTATCTCATTCCCACCATAATTGGTCATGCATCCACAGTGAAGCAAATAAACCATTTCTTGATTTTCGTACTCTTAAAGTCTGATACTTAGGCACATTTTCAATACGGTCCTACCTGCGATGCAATCAATGCTGACGCGGGCACTCCAGAAGCAAACAATTGCATGAACTACAGCATAATAATAATCGATTCCATGAATTGTTTGTCATTTCATTCCAACACCCTTGAAGTATGTGATTATTTTTCATTATATTTATCACTTTTAAAATGGCTAATCAGAGGATCGATGCATACACTGCTTCACTGCCCAAGGTTAGCCTCTCTACAATAAATTGGCGGTCTATATAGTATATTTGTTATCGAAGAACATAACTTCATGAGAAATTAGCACGTTGGTATTTTAAAAGCATATTTAAATTTTAGTTATCATAATAGTCAGCTAACTTTGGCTCTGTAGAGAGCTTGAGTTTATAACCGTTCTTCAACTTCACACCTCGGAGTCTGTCAGCTATTGCTTTTCTGGGGTTCAAAACATGCACTTCTCGTAAGGTAGTCAAGGACCAGAGTTGTTCAGGAAACTCTTCCAACGCATAGCAGTTCTTGATGACCAGATTTTGAAGACACGGCATTGCACCTTTCTCTAATCTCCAACTTTTGACCCTCATTTTACTCATCTGAAACACTTTAAGTCGTGGGAACTCTCCAGCGCCAACATTAAGGTCATTTAGTTTATCACCAACATGAAGCCCTTTTAGTTTCAAAATTTGGAGGCTGGCAAGCTGTCCTACAGTCTTCATATTCAAAAACATGAGTTCATCCTTTTTGTGTGATTGTATCAAGGTTATCTTGGTCAGATTTGATGGAACCACATTTGCGTCTGATGGAAATTCTAGGGAGTTATTCACTTTAAGGCTATGGAGATTGCTGAGGTGGTTTAGACTTGGTAATGGTATGTGGGAAGTATCATACAAAATAAACATTAATTTTCTCAACCTGGGAAATATGTCAGTTTTTAGTGGGGACACAATTCCTTGACCATCAGGACACGCTAACAGGAGGGTTTGCAGGTTTCCCTTTATTTTCCTTTGTGATTTTGGTGGGATTTGTACATGGCAAGCATCCTTTATATAAACATGTGTCAGTCGCTTGAGCTTCCAAATTTCCTTGGAGACCATCTTTGCACAGTATACATATCAAGCTTTTCAAGATTCCTGAGGTTGCGTACAGAAGCCGGAATGCTACTCACCTTTACATCTATTCTCAAGTACTTTAAATGGATCATCGTCTTCCAATCAATCATGAGTGCTTCGGTTTTGAAATATATCACGCGATCCAACTTGAAGCTTTTCAGAAGAAGATCCTTTTGGGTACTCATCCTTCTCAGAAAAGAAGAAGATGGAACGAGTGCACAACTGATTCAAATTGTTAGTAGAGACATTAGACCATTCCTTGTATTGGATGGACAATCTACTTGGGTTAGCATTGCTCAGGCTATCCATGTTGTCGGCCTATGTGCAAACCTCCATAAACTTCTCAGATTTGCTCTCTGATATGCAGGATCGCGAAGAAAATCATGAGCTCGACTTGTCTTGACACGCCCATCACTCTTCCTACTTGCCACTTGCACCAAGCTGCCATCCACTGGCTCATCCAAGTAGTACTCTGGAACATCTTCTGTTTCCGCTGCACTTGAGATGATTGCAAGTAGTACTCTGCAACATCTTCTGGTTCCGCTGCACTTGAGATGATTCCAGCTTCATGTGGTTGAATGAACCCTGCCATCCACATTTCGATCACATCCCTCGCCCTGATCTCGTAGTCCTCAAGATAGATTCCAAAATACAGAAAGCATGGCTTCAATCTTTGAGGCAGGCTGTCGTAGCTAAGCGAATTTTGGGTCATTCGTCTCCTTCCCCGCCCTTCTGCTCTCCCACATCCAACATTGTCTCTCCAACCTCCATATCCAACCTTCCTTTTCCTCTTCCAATTCTTCTCTTCTTTCCCCAACTTCCTCTCCTCCATTCTTACCCTATATACAACTCCCCACCCTCATCTCCACTCCAATACTCACTTTCCCTCTTTTTTTCATACTTAATTCTTTCTTTCCTTTTCTTTCTACTTCTATATCACCCAATCTCTCTAGCTCCTTCTTCCTTCACACTTAGCTCTCTCTCCTTCTTTCTTTTCACCAGAAAAAATAATAATGTAAAATTTACTTAAATTAACTAAATTTGTTTAAACGAATTTTACTTAAAAAATTTGTTATTTTTTCTACTTTTACTTAAGTGATTAGTATATTTTAATTTAAATAAATTATTTTTGTTTAAATGAAAATAAAATTAGACATTTAATGCAATCTATGACTATATATAAGGTACTAAATTGACATGTCACTATAAACTCTTTGCATTTTAAGAGATTATTGTAGAGATTGCATTGGGAATAGTAATGTTAACAACATTTATCTCATTCTCATTATAATTTTTGAGTAATTTCTGGAGGGAAAATTCATGCTTTGTGCATTGTATTTTTTTTTCTCAATATAAATTGAAATGTATACAATTCAATTATATATCTCTCCCTGTTATTATATATCTCATTTTGAAGTAATTTCTGGAGGGCAAATTCACTTGTGGATGCACCTTCTGTGATACCGTATCTCTCCCTCGTGTTATATATCTCACCAATACGGTTCTTGATGTTCTCTTCATTGACTTCAGGAAGCACCATGACACGTTTCAAGTGGAATAACTTGCTTATTATGTTTCTGCTCCTATGTTTGGCGATGCTGGCAACGTAGATGTCAACGACATCCTCGGCCTTAAAGGCAACATCTCTGATTTGGTTGATTACAAGGATACAATACATAACCATCTATTCTTCTGCTATGAGAAAGGAATTTAAATGAGTGGTTTTTTTTATATCATTTGAATGTAAATGAGTGGCACTGTCGAACAATAACAGTACATGGCAATATAGCATATTCTTAATACTAACTATGGCTTATCAATCCAAACATGTCTTTGAAAATAGGCATGGACTATACCTTTATATAAAAAATTTACATTAAATAATGCGTACATTCAAAGAATCAAAAGCACGTATGAAGCATGCATAGAAAGTCAGGAATGATACCAACAAAAAAAGAAGAAAAAAAACTTGCTAACAGAAGCTACAATATTGTAAATGAAACTTTTTCACTATCACTAAGTTCCATCCTTTGGGATTTTGTTACATTTTGCAATAAATTTTTGAAAAGTTGCTCCTAGCGGTTGACGTGGCTTGACTCTAAGGGCAAAGCACATTATTATTAGATAACTGTTACTGATCCATATACTAATTCAATTATTGATTACACTGTGGCGCCATCAATGATTCAAACGGTGATTTCGGGTCACTTTATACTTCCTAACTAGATAAGAAGTCTTTTCAGAAGCAGTAGACTGAGAGGCTTTGGCAGAATTGATCGAACTTCAGGGTGCTTCGCTTGAGCTCAACCATCCGGGATGCTTGTTTTCTGAGGATGATTCTTTCGCGTAAGTCAGGGAAGTGTTGAGCCAGAGTAGAGATGACCTTTTCAGCATCGCTGT